TTAGTGCCCGGCCAGTTTGGCTCAGTGGTTGAGTGCTGACCCTGCACCAAGAGGTCCTGGTTCGATTCCTGGTCAGGGCACATGCCCAGGTTGTGGGCCTGATCCCCGGGGGGGGGCGTGCAGGAGGCGGCCAATTGATGTCTCTCTCATCAATGTCTCTATCTCTGTCTCCCTCTCCCTCCTCTCTCTCTAAAACCAATAAAGAAAAAAAAATTTTAAACCCCACAAAAACAGACTTAGTGGTCACTCCTCTGGTATGACCTCCACACTGTACGTGTTTGATTTCATGAGGACACGTTTCCGAAGGACACGCTGAGGGGCTGTTATGAAGTGACACACAGCACGGCTCGGCTAACCGGGGAGCGGTCAGTATTACACAGCAGACACTCAGGGGCTGGGTCACAGACGCCTGGACAGCAGCGCCAGGCTGAGCGCTGGAACCCTGTGCCGATCCGCAGAGGGGCCCGGGGCGACCAGGCAGGACCCTGCTGCCCCGTCTCCTGAGGTAGAGGAACATCCACAGCCCACAGCCCCGCGCTCCGTGGCTGCGGGCAGACGTAAGGGCTTCATCAGTGTCTGGAAGGTTCAGACATCCCAGTTGTCCGAAGTTCTCCTTCAGGGTCGTCTTGTCGAGAAATCGGGGTCCCTTTACGTCTGGGCTGCCTGTCTCGAAGCCGGGACGAACTCGGGCCTGGTCTGCGTCCGCACCTGCCTGCCTCTCTGACCTGTTCCTTCCCAGGGCTCAGCCGAGGGTCCTGTTGACCCCATCTTTCTCCGGGGCGGAGCTGCCTCCTGTTGCTACTGCGACCCCCACCCCCATTGGGCATTCTCCTCCTGGGGTCTCGGGAGGCTCACTGGCCGGTCCCCTCCTCGTCTGCAGGATGGGGAGACGGGAGAGATGAGCCGGGAGAATGCCCTGGCTCTGTCTGCTTTAAAAACCTTTGGCCCGGCCTGGCCGGTCTGGCTCAGCGGTTAGTGTTGGCCTGTGGACCAGAGAGTCACAGGTTTGGTTCTGGTCAAGGGCATGCACCTCGGTTGTGGTTAATCCTTGGCCCTGGTTGGGTCATGTGGGAGGCAGCCACTCGCTGTGTCTCTATCACGTTGATGTTTCTCTCTCTCTCCCTTCCTCTCACTCTGTCTGATGATAAACAGAAAAGTATCCTTGGGTGAGGAATAACAAAGAAGTAAACAAATAAGAAAATAAAAAAGCCTTGGCCTTGGTGGGGGGCGGGGCACGTGCATCGGGACCACTGCTGTGGGGGTGGGGAGGAGGGCACCTTTCTGACCCCAGGGCACCAGCCAACTTGGGGTCAGGTGAGCCTGAGACACACACTGAAGGGAAGGGGGCTGGTGGACGGAGGAGACCCGCCCGGTGCGTCCACCCATCGCGTCCTGTGCGCGTCACAGCACCGTGCTCTCCGGGCGCTCTGCCAGGGGCTGCGGCGAGGGAGCCGGGCGGAGGGACAAACATCGGCCACTGGCCTGAGGACGCAGAAGGCCCTGAGGCCTTGGAGGGAGGACAGCGAAAGGATGGAGAGTCACCCAGGACCTCTGAGCCTGTTCTTGGTGGCAGGTGAGGGTCTTCCAGCTGAACAGGGGTTCCGGCCGGGAGAACCGTGGAGAGGCACCGAGGGCACAGGCCGGAGGGTGGAAGCCGCAGGTTCAGAACCCAGAGGGCGCATCTGGAGCGGAGGCAGCCAGGCGGGGCGGCCCAGCCGGCCCCCCAGTGGACCCTCGGGACAGGGTGCAGCAGCAGGACGCCCGTGGGGCAGCCCTGGGCCAGGCTGGGCAGCAGACCCTTCTGGGACCGCCTGGCACGGAGGAGTGTCTGCCGAGCCCTCAGGAAGGGTGCTCTGTCCCTCCATCCTTGGTGACCGCCGTGGGGCCAGGCCCCACCACTAGAGGATCTGCTCTTTGGCGGAAGAGTGAGACTGCAGCTGTGCTGAGATGCGCTCTGCTCAGGACAGAGGGACACACCTCCCTCCATGTTCTGCTCAGGACAGAGGGACACACCTCCCTCCATGCTCTGCTCAGGACAGAGGGACACACCTCCCTCCATGCTCTGCTCAGGACAGAGGGACACACCTCCCTCCATGCTCTGCTCAGGACAGAGGGACACACCTCCCTCCATGCTCTGCTTAGGACAGAGGGACACACCTCCCTCCATGCTCTGCTTAGGACAGAGGGACACACCTCCCTCCATGCTCTGCTCAGGACAGAGGGACACACCTCCCTCCATGCTCTGCTCAGGACAGAGGGACACACCTCCCTCCATGCTCTGCTTAGGACAGAGGGACACACTCTCTCTGCTCAGGACAGAGGGACACACCTCCCTCCATGCTCTGCTTAGGACAGAGGGACACACCTCCTCCATGCTCTGCTCAGGACAGAGGGACACACCTCCCTCCATGCTCTGCTCAGGACAGAGGGACACACCTCCCTCCATGCTCTGCTCAGGACAGAGGGACACACCTCCCTCCATGCTCTGCTCAGGACAGAGGGACACACCTCCCTCCCTCAGATGACAGCAGGGAGGCGGATGCAGGTGGCACTTTGAAGGAAGTGGGCCGGGGGGAGGGGAGCTCCCGGGCCCTGGATGGCAGTGTGGAGGGAGAAACAGAGACCAGTCAGGTGGGAGCAGGAGCCTATGGCAGTGCATCTGGGCACCGGCCGCCAACCTCGACTTTTGTTAAGCGCAGCGGGGACAGTTGGCACACCTGGGCTCTGGTCGGGTGAGAGCTGGAACCCTGTGCAATTATTTGTCACCCCTACGGCCCAGGTGGTTCTAGTTCTCTGAGCCGTAAGAGTGTTCACGGACTTAATGACCCGAAGTCCGCGCTCCGTAGATGGTGCTACCTGCCCACCTCGATACACCCGGCCCCAGCGGGCATGCAGGGACAGCGCCTTGCCCTGGCGCGCCCCGTCCGCTCTGAACGGGGTGCAGGTTCTCCCAGGACTCCTGGGCTGGTCTTCGTGCCGCGGACAAGCGGGTGTCCGTCCTGGGCGTTGACAGGGGAAACGCCCCGGACGCGGACCTACAGGGAGCGGCTGCCTGTCGCTCCATTCATTTAGAATGGGTCCCCTTCCTGGAAGCTTACGGCACCATGTCCAGAGACCCTGAGGTTAATTCATGTGAAAGCCATCCCTAGTCTGTGGTCCGAACTACGGGACAGGGCCCAGCTGTGCACTGACAGCCTGTCTTGGGCGTTGTTCAGGGTGTTCTGGCAAAGGGCCTGCCGGTCAGAGCGCGTGTCACTCTGCTGGACCAAGTGTTCTGGGAGACAGACGACATCTGGTCCTGTCACTGGCCGAAAGGAGTCCATAGCCCTGGCTGAGGCGGCCCCGTGGGGGGAAAAGCCCCATGCTGTTTTTTTTTAAACCTCACCCGAGAGTATTTTTGCATTTATCTTTAGATAGAGCAGGAGGGAGGGAGGGAGGGACACCAGTGTGAGACGCATTGATTGGTTGCCACCTGCACGATCTCAACCAGGGTTGGGGACGAACTGTAACCGAGTTACATGCCCTTGGCTGGAATCGAACCCAGGACTCTGGTCTGAGGGCTGATGCTCTAACCACTGAGTAACCGGCCAGGGCTGGGCTGGTTTTTTCCACCCACTTTTGTGGGAGGCCTCCCACCATGTCTCTCTCACCATGCGACCCCCCAAGATTCCAGTTCCATAAACTACACTGAGGAACCATGTCGGTGGGGGCAATTCTCACTCACAGGTGCCAGCACGAGACGACTCCAGTTCTCGTTTCCGGACACGCAGAGGGCGCCACGGTCAGGATGAACGGGGACGCACCGGGCTCTGGGTGTCCAGCTCTGCACAAGGCCAGCGTTTCCCCGTGGACAGAGCCGTCTGACGCCGAGACCCAGCGGCCGTTCTCAGGTCACCCGAGCCGAGCCGAGCGGGCAGGACGGGGCGTGACTGGTGACCTCGACTCAGTGGCTCCTCCCGCGTCCCCCTTCCCGGCTTCCCCTGCTCCCCCTCCTCTGCCCTAACGCCACGGGGACTCGGACGTGCACGGTCTGTCGTGCAGACGTGTTCACGTGTTGGTGTGGAAGGAGTTTTACATTCTTTAGAGCAGGGTTCTCAGTCTCCCTAATGCCGACCCTTCAATACGGCGCCTCGTGGTGTGTGTGGCGTGTCGGTCTCTGGAGCCGGACAGAGGAGCGGTGTCTCGGTTCCTAAGACCGTCGGAAATATGTGTTTTCCCATGGTCTTAGGTGACCCCTGTGGAAGGTTCGTTTGACCCCCAAAGGGGTCGTGACCCACAGGTTGAGAACCGCTGCTTTAGAGAGAGAAAAGCTTAAATCAAAAGTTCAAGTTGCTTGTCTCTGGGGTAGGAAGACAAGCCGGGAGCTCGGGGGTCACCCTGGAACGGGACCCGGACTGTGGATGTGGGTGAGACGGGAGGGCCCTGGGAGTCAGGCTGGGCCGACGTCACTTCGCAGCCTCCAGTGGTGTGGAGGGAGCACCGTCCGGGTGGCTCATTTTGGACTCCGCACTCTGATGAAACCGCAGCAAAGACAGTAAACCAGACAGCGGAGTTCCTCCCGGTGGAGCCGCTGAGCAGCCTCGCTCCACACTGGGCAAGCTCAGGCGGCAGGGAGGTGCCCTGTGCCAAGGGCCTCAGGCCTCAGTGCCCAGGGCCAGGCTCCAGGGCGGGCGCACACTGGCCGCAAGGTGGCGCTGCACCTCTGAACTCAGTGGGCCCCTGGTCAACCGGTAGGTAGGAGGGAATTCCCGTGGGGTAGGATGCTGGGATCCTGTGAGCTCTCTTCGTGAATCTGGAAAACTGGTAAGTGAATCTGCCACCTGAGTCCCTCCCACATTATGAAGGCCAAGACCGCATGCCGATGTTCTGAATCCTATCCCATTACACTAACGAGCATTCAAAAGCCACAGATCCCTTACTGGAGACCCCGCACCAACAGTGACGTTGCTACCTGAGCCATTAAGTGTTGACATCAAAGGACAGTGACCACACAAAAGAAATCCAAATAAGAATTTATTCCCTACATCTACTGAAAGGAATACAGGTGATACTAAGTGTACGTTTACGGTAACATTTAGAGTTATGTCAACAAAAGAACAACAGCTGTGGCTACATCAGCGCGTGCAGTTCCCTACAAAGGCAAGAGGACGAACAAGACCCAGACGGGAAGCGGCCTGGAAGGACGGCGCTCACGGCGAGGGCCGACGACGCAGGGGACACGCCTGATGCTGTCTGGGCCGCAGAGCGGCCAACCACACACGCGCACACGCGCACACACACGCACCAGGACGGGAGGACTCAGATGCCGACCTCTCACACGCCCTCGGCTGTGACAGCGCTCTGTCCGTGCAGGTGTTGGAAACACAGTGACCATTCAACAAGCTTGTGTTTGAGGAGCAGAAGCCGGAGCCCCTGGTCACCGCCACCGATGAACTCGGAGGGACCGGTGAGGACAAACCACCTCGGGAAGAACTGACTCCCAGCTCCTGAACTTCAGGAACGGGGCGACACCTGGTGGCCTGTGACAAACATGCTGATCCAAAAGGTGCTACCTTTGGCCTTGAGAAAGGTTCTGACCTGCACCTGAACGGCAACAGTCCGGAAGGAGCTGCGGCCGGGACCGCCCGGGACGGCAGGCTCTGCTGCCGGCTCAGCCTCCCTGCAGATGTCCACCCTACACGTGACCTCGCACACACACATTTTAAAAGACTGTCTCAAGTTCACTGCCCTTGACCTTCACAATAGGCTGGGGTCCCTGGGTGACTCCATGGGCACCATCTCCCGTCCGAGTCTGGTGGAAAGGGACGGCCAGGGGCAGAGGGCAGACAGGAACGCGAGCCGAGTGAGCAGTCTGCTTTTTCTCCGCCTGCATGCTGGGGACGCTTGCTGCCACCGGATCCACGTTAAGGACAGGACTCGTCTGCAGACCGTGCCAGGACGCACGAGGCTCGTTCTGCCAGTCCCGTGGGAGGTGCCCTCCAGACCTCCAGCGGCGGATGCGCCAGCATCACTTTCAATGCAGTGCTTGATGCTGAAGATTTAATGAGGGGTCAGCGACTAACTTCACAGGCAGGCTACATGTCACATGAACTGGAATCGGTTTCCCTGCCCACCTGAGTACAATTTACATGCATCAGAACACAGACAGTTCAAGACATGCCTTAGCAGAGTCATTCTGTATTTTAAAGTTTCACGAATTTCCTTTTTGGGGGTGAGGATGCCTATTTCACGTCAGTGATCAAGCAGACGTTTGCTTTCTGAGTAGGTTTCTGCACAGACACCATGTGTCCGTTGTCTAAAGTGCTCTGTGGCTGGGGGCAGGGACCCCTCCCCGCATCACGTTCTGTGCAAATTCCCACGGAGACACCTGCTCGGGAGACGCCCCACCTTCAGTGTCTCCCTCTCCTGCGCCGAGTCCACGCGCCAAGTTCATGCCCTGCGTCTGCCACGCGGAAGGTTACGAGTCAGGTGATCACAGTAACGTGGCTGCTGATCTCAGGAAATGAGGTGGAAGACACAAGATTCTCAAAAGACATCTCACGAGGCACGCCTCGGCTGTTCGGCCCGGCCCCCGACGCCACACTCAGATGGCGACGCCTCGCCGGCTGGTGCGAGCCTGGGGTGCTGCCCCTGCGTGGCTTCTCGGGGCCCGTGCTCCCCGTCCGCTCCTCCTGCTGCCTTCCTGGTGCCGTCACGCTGGCTGTGCCCGAGCAGAGCTGGCCGTGTCAGCGTGAAGCTCCAGCTGTCCCCCGAAGACCGTCCACACCAAGAGCTCCAAAGAGCACCGGGCAGGACTAGAGGGCAAAGGAGGACGAGACACCAGATGGGAACCAAGTTCTGAAAGGAGTGGAGTTCTGTTCCGACCGTGAATATAAGGCATTTCTTCAATGACCTCTGCTCTGGGAGACACTTCAGGCTGCCTGGGTTCTGTGGCTTCAAGGGCAGAACTAAACCTATTTTCTCCAAATTCACTGTCACGATTCGTGAGTTTCTCTCACTCAGCCGTGTTTAGCCCCTGCGTCGTCAAAGGTGACGGCGCGAGCGGACGCAAAGGGGACCCTGGCTCAGCCCTGGCCGTCGAGGGAGATCGACCCACGCGCAGAGCCGGCAGGAACTGGAGTGGCGGCGGGCTCCCTGGACCAGTGCGCAGGCTGGGGGCGGTTTGTTCTGGTGAGTACGGCCCGCGCCCTCGAACTTAAGTTTGCTTCAAACACCCACTAGAGAGAAAGGAGAATTTAAACCTTGGCCTACTTAAACACGAAAGCTGAGCCCAGCAAGGGAACGGCACTCGAAGCTGAAGACACCGTATGAAGCGCTTCGTCCATGAAGTCTCTGAACCGTAACAAGGGTCAGCAGTGTCCAACAGCAGCCTTCCTAGGTGGCGAGGGGTCTGTGGACGCCCGACAGCGTGCGCTCCTGGCCGTTCCCCGGCCCCAGAGCGAGCTGCGTCTTCAGAGCGGCGATCAACGGTGACACAACTTCTTGACAACCTCACTCGATTATTGATTATATAATATTCAAAAATCAGTATTTTTAATTTGCCGAGGTAAAACGCCAGAATTCCTGACTGGCAGCATCGCGACCAATGGAAGACAAGGGATTTTATACGTTGGTATGATAACACACGAGCCCCGTTGTTTGGGGGGAGGGTCAGAGAACAGAGTCGGCTCATCGAGTGGGGCCGCCTGGCCTGTTTAAAGTTCTGTCCTCGGCTGAGGCAGAGGGTCCCGACCGCGCCCCAGGCCCCGCACCACCTCTCCCGCGGCCGCTCCGGGTGAGGCCTCGCGTTACCATCAGCACAGCTGTGCAGTGCGACGCTCATCGTGAACCCCGCGCTCTGCAGCCGGCGACGCGTCAGGTCCGAGAGCGGCTGCTCCTCTTCAGTGCAAAGGCCCGGCGGAGAGGCGGACGGCGAGTTTCTGTAGTGTGTGCGTGGCCCGGCCTCCAGGGTGGGAGCCCCGGGGCCTCGTCCTGGTGGCAGCTGGCTTGACCCCCCGTGATGGCTCGTCCCGGCGGCGGGTGGCCACCCCCAGCGACTGCGAGGCACTGAGTCGGCGCAGCTCAGCCGCCCGGGGGCTGGGTGCTCACTGGGGCACGTAGCCGCCCCGCCGCACGGTCTGTGGCAGGTAACTTTTCGGCAGCCCCTCATCAAGCGCGGCCTCCACCCCCACCGTCCCCAGCCTGGCGAGGGGGCCCTCGGAAGCGGCTGCCGCGGGGGCCTCGGGACACGCCTTCAGCTGCCCAGCCCCACAGGCCTGCGCGATCGGATCCACAACCTGCTGATGCTTCAGTCTCACCGAGTCGTCCTCGCCACCCGGGGACAGCTGCTCCGGCCACTCGAAGGGCAGGCCGTCGGGGCCGGCTCCAGGCTGAGCGCACTGCGGCCGGAAGTGCTGCGGCCTGGGCGCCGGGCCGGCGCCGTCCGCCAGCTGCAGCTCCTCCGGCGGCTCCTCGGAGTCCAGCAGCGGCTGCGTGGACTCGGAGCGCGCGAACACCTGCACCGAGGGCACCTGGTGCCGGTAGCCGCTGTGCACCACGGTGGAGTACTGCACGGCGCTGGCCGTGCTCTGCGTGGACTCGGTCTCCTCGCCGCTGCAGACGCTCTGCCTGGACGAGGACATGCAGGAGGACCCGCCGATGCCGCTGCTGTGCCCCTCCGTGCTCGCTCTCTCCTTCTTGAACAGATCCAAGGACTTCAGGTCTTCGGGGAAAGGCTTCTGGTCATTAGCTTCGATTTCCACCACGCTCACGTCAGTGAGGTTGCCGTCCGAGTACACGTGGTCTTTCGAATTAAAGTTATGCTGGGGGCGGAGAGGGGGAGAGAGAGAATGGATTACCACGTGTGCCCGTTCACTCAGAAACCCTGAACCACACGGTAAATGTCAGCACGGAGCCCATGTGTCCCTGAGACGTCTCAGTGGTTCTGCACCGGGCAGAACCAGGCTCGTCACCAAGTCCCCATCAACCCCCGGCATCGAGGCCTGGGGTTGACCCCCAGTGGTCTGCACCAGGCTGTGTCTCGTCAGAACTCCAAACCAGTCCTGTTGCGTTACGTTTTCAGAAGCTGTTGGTCCACAAACAGTATTTCATATTTCATGCCTAGACTAGGGAGCCTAGGATTAACAGGACAGAAAAACTGGAAAACGTTAAGATAAACCAAAGTCAAATGACTGAAGTTTTATAGAACATAAATATATAACACATCTTAATCTGTGACTATAAAATCTAAGAACTGAAGGTCATACACAAATCATTTCCTTTCAGGGAAGGTCAGAGAATTCAGCGGGTACTGGGAACCACCCATCAATGTAAAACCTGGCAGACCGGTTACATCTGACTTCTGTCCAGGGTTATCACAGAGCAGGATGCTGGTATCTGACATCAGGAATATCAGAATAAATATGCTCCAATGATAATAAAATAGAATATGTAGGTACTGTTTTAAATTTTGGTTAAAATTCTCTTTTTGTACTATTCTGTTTCCATCTACGTTTTGGTTCGGTCTGACTTTGGTTGAATGCCACACACGCATCCTGGTTTGGCTGCCAGAAGCGTTGATCTTACCCTGGGAGGCGTGTGTGGGGACCACTGGGCGATGTGACTCTTCGACGGGTCTGGAACGTTAGGCCAGATGTGCTTCTTAATCCTGGAGAGAAGAGAAACACGCCGAGGTGGAGCCACTCTGGTGGACAGACCCCTGCACCCCAAAGCCAGCAGAAGTGGATTTCCTTATACTCAGTAGAAAAGTGCTATTTTTTTTTTCTTAAATCCTAACCTGAGGATATTTTTCCATTGCTTTCTAGACAGAGTGAAAGGGAGAGGGGGGAGAGAGAGAGAGAGAAACATAGATGTGAGAGAGACACACTGATTGGCTGCCTCCTGCACAAGCCCCACCGGGGCCGGGGATCAAACCTCAACCCCCTGGTCCGCAGACCGATGCTCACACTGCTGAGCCAGCCCGGCCAGGGTGAATGTGCTACTGAAATGCAAGAGGATCTAACCCTCGTCATAATGAAAGACTGCTAAGAAGGCTAGAGCTACTAATCAATATTCTATTAGAAAAATCTCAGATCAAATTCTGCAATAAAAACCATCCCAAACCTTTACCAGGTCGAAAGAGCTGTGGCACATCCCTTCCCAATATCAAAAAAGCACAAATGTTCAATTTCCAGCTAAAAGAGAGCAGGTGAAATCTCACATTGGTACCAGATACATTATGATACATTTGACTTTTCAAAAGGAAGAATGACTAACAATATTAATTAAGGAAAATTAATCCAGGATATCCCACCATCGAAAACCTACTTAGTGTGTGTCCTGCACTGCACAGCCGTCACACAGCGCGCAGGAGGCGAGTCATCTGGAGAACAAGCTCCAGTACAAAGATAACTGACTGACGAGGTCCCACCGGCTGACTGCCACAGGACCAGCAGCAACTCTGGACACGGCACAAAGGGAGCACCTACGCGAGCAGACCAGCCCATCGTGAGAGAAGTCCTTGAAAAACATGCACTACCAAAACACACTGAAAAAATCACTTCAAAAGATTTAGCTTAAAAAAAGTTAAGTTTGTAATTAAAAATTTTACCACCAAAGAAAATCTCATGCCCTGGCCGGTTTGGCTCAGCGGTTAGAGCGTCGGCCTGCGGTCCTGAGAGACCCGGGTTCGGTTCCCGCTAAGGGCACGTACCTCGGTTGCAGTTTGTCCCCGGCCCTGGTCGGTTGTGCGGGTGGCAGCCACTCGATGTGTCCCTTTCACATCGATGTTTCTCTCTCTCTCTACCTGAGCAAAAAATGGAAAAATGTCCTCAGGTGAGGATAAAAAAAATGAAAATCTCAGGCCCAGAGGGCTTGGTTTGCAATTCTATCAAACGTTCAAAGAGGAAATAAGAGCAATCCCACACAAACTCTCCCAGAGAAGAGAGGTAGCCTGTCCCCATTAGTTGCCATTTATGAGGATTCCGCAACATCCTGATTCCAGAACTAGACAGAGACACCACACGAACGGACAGGCCCCCGTCGTTCACGAACACAGGGGCAGCACCAGTGAGCAGGCGGAACCCAACGACTCCGAGGGGTGCGAGGAGAGCTCAGTATCTGAAAATCAATTTAAAAATCCACCCTATTTGTGGAAGAAAGGAGAAAAATCACATGATCATGTCAATCGATGGAGAAAAGGCCTCAGGACGAAAATCCAGGAAAACGCAGCGTGAGGACTTCCTCAGCGCCAGCCCGCAGCGGGCGGCGGCGAGACTGAAGCTGCCCAGCTCCACTGTGCTCAGCGCTGCGCCGGAAGGTCTCCGCACACCACGCTGTGTACGTGAGACGTCCTGAGAAACACAGAGCTACTAGAATGGACGAATCTACCAAGGTCTCAGTACATAAACACAATTCCATTTGTATACATTAGCAATGAACAATCTGAAAATGAAACATTTTGAAGTCCATTTACGATAGTATCAAAAACACACGCAGGAGCAGGTGCCTGTGGGACTCTCCGCCGAAAGCGCCCCAGCAGGGCACGGAGTGGAGACAGCTGAGCAGGGATGCACTGTCGCTGCTGGAGGCTCACAGGTGAGCTCCCCGACAAGCTCGGACTGTGGTTTCCCTTAACTGGATCCACAGCCCAACAGAATCACAAAGTTCTTGCAGGGTTTTGTTTTTTCCCCCAATGAAACTGATAAGCTGATATTAAAATTACACAAAAAGGCAAAGAACCTGGCCGAAGTAATTCTGAAAGAGAACATGGGGGGGAATCCCACTAACACTCTCCAAACTCAACATGGAGCGGCCACAGTCAGGGCAGTGCACCCCGAAATCCGTGAGAGAGCAGAGTCCGCAGACAGGTCCAGATGTACGTGGACAACAGATGCTGGCAGAGGCATGAAGTAATTAAACTGAAAAAAGACTTAATAAGTGATTCTGGAACAACTAGACAGCTATGGAAAAAATAAACTTTGACCCTGACCTCACATCACACACAAAAATTAATTCTAAAGAGATCAGAGAGTTAAAATGATTAAACTTCTAGAGAAAAGCGCAGACCATATTTCTGACAGTGGGTTAGGCAAAGAGTTCTTAAACAGGATATAAAACCCAAAAAACATAAATAAAAAGCCAACAATGATAAAATGTATGTTATCGAAATGAAACACTTCTGTTTGTCTAAAGTTGCAGTTACGAAAACGAAAAGGTGAGCCACACACCAGAATGTGCAAAATACACATTGGACAGACATTTTGTAACCAGAGTAAACAACAAAGAACTTGCATAGCTCAATATTAACAAGACAGACAACCGAATTTAAAAATGGGCAGAAAATTTCAGAAGATGTATCACCGAAGAAGATGTGAGTGGCACATGGGCAGACCCATCACTGGGTCCGTTTCAGGGAAGCAAAACTGAAACCACAGGCGACCGCGCTCTGCACCCCGGGAGGAACGGCTGATGGGCTCCGCACCCCGGGAGGAACGGCTGGACGGGCTCTGCACCCCGGGAGGAACGGCTGGACGGGCAACCCGGCCGCGCTCTGCACCCCGGGAGGAACGGCTGGACGGGCGACCCGGCCGCGCTCTGCACCCCGGGAGGAACGGCTGGACGGGCTCCGCACCCCGGGAGGAACGGCTGGATGGGCTCCGCACCCCGGGAGGAACGGCTGGACGGGCGACCCGGCCGCACCCAGGGCTGGCGTCTGCGGAAGGACTGAGGCCCGGACACGATGGGTGAACACCAGAGGCACGGCCACTTTGCAAACAGCCTGACAGTTTCTGATGAGGTGAGTTCGACCACAGGACCTGCAACCCCACCCTCGGCACTGACTCAAGACCAGTGACCGCACAGGACCACACACAGTGGCCGAAATCAAAGAAACCACCTGAACTCCCATAACCAAAGTGCGGATGAACACACTTCGATATATCTAGACTACAGAACACTTCAGCAATGAAAACATATTAGTACATGAAACAACATGAATGAACCTCAAGAACACGCTAAGTCAAACACAAAACTAAGCCACAGGAAGCAGATCAGTGACCGGCTGGGCCAGGGGGTCAGGGAGAGCAGCAGCTACAGAACAACTGAGGAACCTTCCAGGTGGTAAATGCTCTCTATCCCGACTGGGTGGCAGTTAGCACATCTGTCTACAGTCGTAACATTCATCAAACTGTGCCCTTGAAACGCACAATTCCACTGCGTGTCATTACAGCTCCACGAAGCTGGGGAGAAAGCTGATACAGGAATAAGGGTACTCACAGGTCTCGCTTGTTGAAGCAGAACAATACTCCCAGAAGGGTGATCAACAGGAACGCTAGGCAGACAGGGACGACTATGGCTTCAATCTCCCCTTGAGCTAGAAAACAGGGCAAGAAGAGAAAGAACTGTCAGCACAGCCTCTGAGAACCAGTGCAGCCACCCAGCCACACCGCGGGCACACGGAGGGCACACCGCGGGCACACTGAAGGCGCACCGTGGGCACACACAGGGCACACCACGGGCACACTGAGGGCGCACCGTGGGCACACGGAGGGCACACACGGGCACACTGAGGGCGCACCGCGGGCACACACGGGCACACTGAGGGCACACAGAGGGCACACGGAGGGTACACCGCGGGCACACACGGGCACACCGCGGGCACACTGAAGGCGCACCGTGGGCACACACAGGGCACACCACGGGCACACTGAGGGCGCACCGTGGGCACACGGAGGGCACACACGGGCACACTGAGGGCGCACCGCGGGCACACACGGGCACACTGAGGGCACACAGAGGGCACACGGAGGGTACACCGCGGGCACACACGGGCACACCGCGGGCACACGGAGGGCGTACCGTGGGCACACGGAGGGCGCACCGAGGGTACACCGCGGGCACACGGAGGGCACACCGCGGGCACACACGGGCACACTGAGGGCACACCGCGGGCACACGGAGGGCGTACCGTGGGCACACGGAGGGCGCACCGAAGGTACACCGCGGGCACACGGAGGGCACACCACGGGCACACGGAGGGCACACCGCGGGCACACGGAGGGCACACTGCTGCACTCGCTCTGCACATACTGCCTCTTGCACCGAGGTGAGACCTCCCTCCACCAGCAGAGAGATGGCGACTCACTGAAGGCTCGGAGGGCTGTCAGCATTTTTTTGCAGTCAGTTTTTAATTAAGGTACCTGCACGCTGATTTTAGACACTTGCTACTGTGCACTTACTAGACTACAGTATAAATGTAACTTTTATGTGCACTGGGGAAAGCAAAACACCTGTGGGATTCACTTTCCTGTAACATTCGCTTCGGTGCGGTGGTCTGGGACCCACAACCCGAGATAGGTCTGTGCTGTTGACGAGATACAATACCGCCCTTGCTTGTTTCCAGTCTTTCGAACTTACAGGTGTTTGCCCCTCTCCTCGGAAACCCAGCCCCGGCCACTGCTGCCTCACAGGAAGCTGCCACAGAGGAGCCTGTTGGCTGGGGCACGGGGACACTCCGCTCAGTTCACTGGGTGACCGCCTGGTGAGTCAGAGCCCGGGACCCCCTGCACTCAGCAGTCTCTGCAGAAGCGTCTGTGTGAGGACCGGCTGCAACAGGCAACACTGTGCCATCTTACTGAGTGACCTACAAGCGTGACTCTACAGGAATGAAAACTAACCCTCGGACAACTCTAACAGCTACTTTCTACCCTCAGAGAGACGGCGTCTGCTAGGGGACTGCGGGCTTCAGGGGACCCACACGCACAGTGGGGGCAGGACGTGCTCATCTGCGAAGCAGCGGGCCAGCCTCCCCGACCACGGGGCTCCCTCCGCACCTGCCTTCCCCCAGGGCTGAGTGATCCAGTGAACCACGAACGGGCCATTCATACTGGAGACAAGTTTTAAAGCTATGCCTATAGCTGTGTTTGGTTAATCCTCTAGTCCCCTTTTAGTATTTTACAGGAAAAAGGTACGGAAGTACCACTGGAGTCACGAACTACTCACTCCCTCTTCTCTTTCCATCACACACAACCCTCAGTAAGTAACTTACATCCTATAACCTGACAGAAACCAGGAGTCAGGTCACTGCTCAGGGTCACCTACAGGCTGGGGAACACTAACTCCCGAGTGCTAAGCTCTCACACACAAGGTGAACCCCACTCAAGAAGGACCCCCCTACACTGTGGCTGAGACTCTGCTCACCCGTCCTCGCACCCGGGCCCCTGCCGGCTGCTCGAAGCTGCCCCCCTCCCGCCTGTCCACATCCCGGCCTCCCGACCAAGGCTCAGGCACCTTCTCCTGCACATAATCTTCAGGAAGGGGAACCTCCGCCTACTGGGGTCTTTAATCCTTGCTCTGCTCATGAGATTAGAGTATCTAATGGCCCAATGACTTCCCTTTTTTTTTAAATCCTCACCCGAAGATATTTTTCCATTTATCCTTTAGCTAGAGTGGGGGGGGGGGAGAGGGAGAGAACATCGATGGGAGGGAGACATCGACCAGCTGCCTCCTGCGTGACCCCGACCAGGGCTGGGACGAACCCCAAGTGAGGTGCGTGCCCTCGGCTGGAGTCGAACCCGGTCTCACTGATCCGTGGCTGAGCTCTGACTGCCGAGCCAACCGGGCCAGGGTGACTTTCCGTTTTTTTGTTGCCAATGCCGCAGTCTGCATCTGGGCTGTGAGGCGCGGGGGGTGGGCCAGGCCGCGGAGAGCAGCGCAGCGGACCCCAGAACGACGCAGGTCAGTGGGGAAGGCGGACAGCGCAGTGACACCGCTGACACTGCTCAGCACGCCCGTCACTGGAGAGACGTGTGCAGAAGAGACTAGACTGCGTGCGCATAACCACGGACACAGACAGCAATGCTGGGGGTGGGGGACGGCGCAGTGACACCGCTGACACTGCTCAGCACGCCCGTCACTGGAGAGACGTGTGCAGAAGAGACTAGACTGCGTACGTATAACCACGGACACAGACAGCAATGCTGGGGGTGGGGGCGTGGGGCAGGGAGGAGGATGTCTAGGGGGGAAAACGAAAAACATCCGTAACAAAAATAAATAAAAACTGGAAAAAAAAATTGAAGATAAAAAAAAGACTAAAATACACATATACATTAAACGATAATTTGGATGAAGGATTCAGGAGTGATTTTTCTTCCTCTTTGTATTTTACTGTGTAGTCTAAATTCCCTACATCAAACATTCCTTTTATAATCAAGATAACATTTTTAAAGGTTATTATTTTTATTTTTCTAAGATCATGGCACAAAATCTCATTTCAAATATTATTTGTGACACATTTTTTTATCAACGTGTCAGCACAACCCTCTCTCGGAAGCCATCGGAGTGGCCATGGGTCTCTGACGCAGTCCACCCCCCCCTTCCACCCGGGATCTTCCGCCCACCAAGGGACTCGGGGGACTTGCCTCACCGAGAGCCGCACTCTGGGGACGCAGGAGGGGAGCTGAGCGGGGTCACGAAAGGCCTGCACAGGCAGTGACTAGAAGCCATGGTCACAGGACTCGGCACTGGGCTTATGGCGGCAGAAACGATATGAAGAAATTGGCTACAATCAATTCAAACCCCTGGCTTTGGCAGAGTCGGACGGCTGTGGCCTGGCGCACAGAATGGGCAGCGGGAGGGGACAGCTGAGGCCGTGGACAGGGAGCAGGCAGACCGGACGGCAGAGGAGAAAACGGGCGAGAGCAGAGCCCACACACGGACCGTGGAAGCGAGCGCAGGGCGGCTGAGCAGGATGCAGCCAGCAGGTGGCCCAGGAGCGGGCTCTCTGAGAAGCAAAGGCGGCAGAAGATCCCGGGAAGAGGCAGTTTCAGGGACGGAGACGCCGCTCCAGCCCAGCGCTGGGAAGTGCAGGGAGGAGGAGGGGGACAGGGCAGGTGCTGATGTGACAGCTGGGAGGCGGTCTCGGGACAGTGTGGCTTCAGCGCAGGGTGGGGAGCCAGGGGTGTGAGTGGAAACCACAAGGGCAGCCACCTGCTTGCAGAAGGAGAGACGGGGACAGACCACACCCACGTGTCGCAGTGAGAAAGACGCATATTCTCTGCGATTTATTAGGGTGTAGGTGAAATCAGTCCGGAACAATTAATAACACGACAAAAGGTGCGGAAAAATATTTTCTGTAGTTCAAAGAAACCACTAACAGCAGATCTCACATAACACACACGTGCTAATTTCTGAGCGCTCACCGAACTTGGGCGTGGTGAAGGTGAACTCGGGCCCGTCCTTCCCGCCTTCGTCGGTGTAGGCGGCCATGCGCACCATGTAGAGCGTGTCGCTCGTCAGCGAGGACAGAGTGTACTCTGTGTGGGACGAATCCACATTCACAGCTGGAAGACATCAGAAGTGCACTTTATTCAGCACTCAGCACTTTGCTTCACTGGGCCTATCTCCGATAGCAAAAGTATCAAATAGGAATAAAAGTATATGTTACCAAAAACCAACTTTCCTAACTGATGTCACAGGACCATGGAAGCAAACATTAGGCACATTCTTAGGCGTGTCTCTGAGGACAACATGCTATACTAAGATGTACAACGTGACAAGGATGACAAACTAAGATGTACAACGTGACAAGGATGACAAACTAAGATGTACAACGTGACAAGGACAACGTGACAAGGACAAACTAAGATGTACAACGTGACAAGGACAAACTAAGATGTACAACGTGACAAGGACGACAAACTAAGATGTACAACGTGACAAGGACAAACTAAGATGTACAACGTGACAAGGACGACAAACTAAGATGTACATGACAAGGACAAACTAAGATGTACAACGTGACAAGGATGACAAACTAAGATGTACAACGTGACAAGGACGACAAACTAAGATGTACAACGTGACAAGGACAACAAACTAAGATGTACAACGTGACAAGGATGACATACTAAGATGTACAACGTGACAAGGATGACAAACTAAGAGGTACAACGTGACAAGGATGACATACTAAGATGTACAATGTGACCAAGGATGACAAACTAAGATGTACAATGTGAGAAGGATGACAAACTACGATGTACAACAAGGAGAGACTTAAATTAGCATTTCAAAGCTTAAGAAAAATAATCTGATTCTTAACAACTGATGTAGTTTTATTACCAGTTTCATTTCCAATGTTGGTTTTATAAAATATCGTGTAATTCCTGATGAAGCCATTCTGCACGTCAACGGGGAGCCGGTCCCACTCTAAGACGGCTTCATTCTTCCCCACTTTCTTGGTCCGCACAGTAGGTCCTTTGGAAGGTGCTGGAACAGAATAAAGATTACTTGCTAAGCGACAATCATTAGGATAGTGAATCACCTGAATCTAGTAATATGTCATGATCATATGATCATAAAGTTACTTGAACATAACAAGACATATCCTGATCTAAGAGACACAGTGTCTGTGACACGAGCAACACCCTCGAGGAGGCTGGGCGCGGACTTACGAGCCTGTTTCAGGTAGGCCTTTATGGACTCGGGGGCGCCCGGGCCATCGTCATACACTGGGGTGACGGTTATCAAGTAACATTTGCTCTCTGCCAGGTCCCCTACAGTAAGAAAAGTAGATTAAGCACTGTTTTTTTTTTTTTTTAATGAAAAAGTCTGATTCCATTAATTATTTCTATATTGTAATTTCATAACCACTTTTTCTTAAAACTGCAGCTTTTGAAGAAAGGGTCGCCTCTGTGAACTGCATGACTGGATTCAGGACCGAGTAAAGCTGTCTAGGGAAGTAAGGGTCACTTTCATTGCCAGTGCAGTGGACAAAGCACTGATGCTGTCCACACGAGCATTTATAAAACAATGACCTCTCATCATCTTGGTCTTACTTCCGTCAGACAGTTTCTGTTCCTCTTACCCAATTCTTCGAGACTGCCCAGTGAGCCAGCTGCCACTATAAGCTAGGCCGAGCTTTGTCAGGTGATTCGGAAAAAAGAATCAGTGTTATTTTCCCAGAAAGTACAGTTTTAAAAGAAAAAACGGCCTTGAATACTTTACTTGTAACCTCCCAAATGAAGTTATCTGCTGCTGTACCAGCAGAGGGCAGTGTTCCCCACGCAGCACCTGGTCTGTCCGCATCGAGGATCAGGTGTTTGTGCCAAGTTCCTGCCTTCAACCACGACTTCCGTCCCCTGAGCGTTACACATACGCCTTTGTCTCCTTGAACAGAGCTCCCTCACCTGTTTCTGATACTCAGAATGACCAAGGCGACTAACTCGTATTCTGCTGCGGCACGCGATCGGCCGGGCTCCGTGCTGAGCGGGAGCTCTCCAGAGCCGACGCCGCACTCTGCCCAAGTCCCTCCTGCCCGCCCAGCACCAGGCAGCCTCCTTCAGCTCTGCCACACTCTCAGTTTGACGAGGTGGATACACTAGACAAGTTTTTTTTTTAAATTCTCACCCGAGGACTTTCGTTTCCATTTTTTGTTCAGACAGAGTGGGAGGGAGAGAAAGGAAGAGAGAGAGAAGCATCGACGTGAAAGGGACACATCGAGTGGCTACAACCTGCACAACCAACCAGGGCCGGGGACAAACTGCAATCGAAGTACATGCCCGTAGTGGGAACTGAACCCAGGTCTCTCTGGACCGCAGGCCGACGCTCTAACTGCTGAGCCAAACCAGCCAGGGCTAGACAAGCAAGTTTATGAAAATTCTACATTAAATAGTTAAGAAGGGCCAAACAGCCTATTCTGAGAATAAAGCTCACAAACTTTATTTTGTTGGCCTGACCTGGTGCACCTGCTCAGAGCTGTTCTCTGAACATTTTATTCATCACCGAATTTTAATGACTATCCTTCTTTACTAAATATAAATACATGTTTAGTATACATATATACACGCTGAGTGGTTTTGTTTTCTCTTTAAACGCTGTTATGTCACTTCAAACCACTTAAAAAGTAGCACCTAAAACCAGGACGATCCACTATGGAGCCCATGACGTCACTGCTGTGTCTCCTCGCTCACTTCCCGTTAGAATCCGTAAGGGAGGCCTGGCCGGTTTGGCTCAGCGGTTAGAGCGTCGGCCTGCGGTCCAGAGAGATCTGGGTTCGGTTCCCGCTAAGGGCACGTACCTAGGTTGCGGTTTGTCCCTACCCTGGTTGGTCGTGTGGGTGGCAGCCACTCGATGTGTCCCTTTCACGTCGATGTTTCTCTCTCTCTCCCTCCCTCCCACTCATTTTTTTAACAAAAAATGATAAAATGTCCTAGGGTGAGGATTAAAAAAGAAAAAAAAAAAATCCGTAAGGGATCTGAGTTCTGTTCCCTCGGCAGCAGCGGTCACCAGCTCATCCGGGTGCCAGGCACGAGCTGTCTCGCTGACGGGTGTGGGTCAGGCACAGAGAACGTGCAGCCGGCCAGCAGCAGAGGTTAGATCCTCTCGATCTCTCTCCCACTTACAGTCGTGTGACCATTCGTTTGATGATCAAAACAACACCGGAGAACAGACAAGACAGTCACCCAACTCCGCCCATCAACAGACTGCAGTTCAGAGAGGGCAAGTGTGCAGTGAGTTAGACGTCTGAAGTCTGACCAGTAAGCACGATATACTGGAGTCTTTTCAAAGGGTCACCGGGCCTGTGAGGCCGAGGGGAACACGTAAGGGTCAGAAGAGCTTCGGGCTCCAGCGGGCACCTGTCAGATGAGTGCGGCGCACAGAGCCAGCCTCCTGCTGCCAGTCCGGGACGCAGGGCGACGTGTCCGACAGCACGCACCACTCCAGCACGTACTTGCTGGCGGGCTCGCTGGGCGCCGTCCATTCCACCCACAGCATGCTGTCCTTGGGAAAGGCTTTCAGATCCCGTACGGGGTGAGCAGCTTTAAAACAAGATTCGAACACCACCATGATAAACAAACATTTTAAAACGTAAAATTTTGGTATTTTACATTCATTTCCAGAAGCACACAATCAATCTTGCTATTAGTATTTGCAGTATATAATATTAACATGCTTTTCCATGAATAAAAGCATTTTATTATCATTTACATGTAGTCGATACATTAAGTCCTTTCTTTCCCAAAATTCTTCAGATGTTTTGTGTATGTAAATTATAATCTTTCTTCTTTGAAAGCTACAAACAATATATTTAAGTCATATGCATATACGGTCCCCCAAAGCTTAAAGCAGTATTAAAACAGCAGGTAAGTACAGAACCAGAAAGTGCTTAACTGACCTACGTGGCTTTCAGCAGCCGTCCAGTGATGGACCAGAACGTCCTGACCCTGAGCACGGCCCAAAGGGCGTCTGTCCAGTAGGGCTGTCTGTGCCTACCCGCCTCTCCCCTCCCTTCCCCTCGTACACACAAACCTTGAAAGCCACGGGCAGGGATGGTCAGCACAGCCACGTCCGACCTCCCGACCCGATTCCTGGCCGTCAGGGTCGCTCTGTAGCGGTCGCTGGTGAGGTTTACTGACAGCGTCGTGTCATTAACTGTGTAGTAGTTTTGTAAACGTGATTTCCATTTTGTGAGAGTCACTTCATAATCCAAGATTTTTCCATTGGCTTCAAAAGGAGGCAATGTCTGCAGTAAAATATTTCATGTTAAAAATGTCCTTCCATAAACCTAAAGTTAATTTTGCTTCATGGTCATGAATACTGCTAGTGGGTGCGATCCCCACGTACTGGAAGGGACTGGTCCCATCACCTTGACCTCGCTGCTGAGGTAGGAGCAGGGCACACGGACCAAAGAGGGAAGCGGGAAGGCCACATGGCCTGCTGTCTCTCGTCCTGGCCGTGACCCCTCACGGGATGTGGCCTGTGCTACCCTGAACCTGTTTTCTCTTTGCCTTTTCCTGGTAGGACCCACTCACCTACGTTTATGCAGTACACAACAGCTTTATATTCCCATTACTGGCATCCATTGTGATCACTATTTTCTGAGGCACTCAGGGAAGTTCAATGAAAGACAAGGACCTCTCAACTTCCACGAAGCTGTGCTGAATCTCTGTGTAGTATCACCTACAGTTTATGAACCTAACTTCCATGTGGCATATGGAAACTTTGTGTTCCATGCATTATAGTTAGCAAATGCTCTGCTGATATTAAGATGAATAAAAAGTTAAAACTCCACTCACAATACCGCATACAATGTATCTGTACAGAGCTAAGAGAGACATGTGGGGCTGCTCAGCTTCCATACCAGCTGCACAGTTACAATGTATCTGTACAGAGCTAAGAGAGAGATGTGGGGTTGCTCACCTTCCACACCAGCTGCACAGCTACAATGTATCTGTACAGAGCTAAGAGAGAGATGTGGGGCTGCTCATCTTCCACACCAGCTGCACAGCTACAATGTATCTGTACAGAGCTAAGACAGTACAGATGTGAGGCTGCTCACCTTCCATACCAGCTGCACAGCTACAATGTATCTGTACAGAGCTAAGACAGTACAGATGTGGGGCTGCTCACCTTCCAGACCAGCTGCACAGCTACAGTGTATCTGTACAGAGCTAAGACAGTACAGATGTGGGGCTGCTCAGCTTCCACACCAGCTGCACAGCTACAGTGTATCTGTACAGAGCTAAGACAGTACAGATGTGGGGATGCTCACCTTCCAGACCAGCTGCACAGCTACAGTGTATCTGTACAGAGCTAAGACAGTACAGATGTGGGGCTGCTCACCTTCCACACCAGCTGCACAGCTACAGTGTATCTGTACAGAGCTAAGACAGTACAGATGTGGGGCTGCTCAACTTCCACATCAGCTGCACAGCTACAGTGTATCTGTACAGAGCTAAGACAGTATAGATGTGGGGCTGCTCACCTTCCATACCAGCTGCACAGCTACAGTGTATCTGTACAGAGCTAAGACAGTACAGATGTGGGGCTGCTCACCTTCCAGACCAGCTGCACAGCTACAGTGTATCTGTACAGAGCTAAGACAGTACAGATGTGGGGCTGCTCACCTTCCATACCAGCTGCACAGCTACAGTGTATCTGTACAGAGCTAAGACAGTACAGATGTGGGGTTGCTCACCTTCCAGACCAGCTGCACAGCTACAGTGTATCTGTACAGAGCTAAGAGAGAGATGTGGGGCTGCTCACCTTCCACACCAGCTGCACAGCTACAATGTATCTGTACAGAGCTAAGAGAGAGATGTGGGGCTGCTCACCTTCCACACCAGCTGCACAGCTACAGTGTATCTGTACAGAGCTAAGACAGTACAGATGTGGGGCTGCTCACCTTCCACATCAGCTGCACAGCTACAGTGTATCTGTACAGAGCTAAGACAGTACAGATGTGGGCTGCTCACCTTCCACACCAGCTGCACAGCTACAGTGTATCTGTACAGAGCTAAGACAGTACAGATGTGGGGCTGCTCACCTTCCACATCAGCTGCACAGCTACAGTGTATCTGTACAGAGCTAAGACAGTACAGATGTGGGGCTGCTCAGCTTCCACACCAGCTGCACAGCTACAGTGTATCTGTACAGAGCTAAGACAGTACAGATGTGGGGCTGCTCAGCTTCCACACCAGCTGCACAGCTACAGTGTATCTGTACAGAGCTAAGACAGTACAGATGTGGGGCTGCTCAGTTTCCACACCAGCTGCACAGCTAGTGTATCTGTACAGAGCTAAGACAGTACAGATGTGGGGCTGCTCAACTTCCACATCAGCTGCACAGCTACAGTGTATCTGTACAGAGCTAAGACAGTACAGATGTGGGGCTGCTCAGCTTCCACACCAGCTGCACAGCTACAGTGTATCTGTACAGAGCTAAGACAGTACAGATGTGGGGTTGCTCACCTTCCATACCAGCTGCACAGCTATAGTGTATCTGTACAGAGCTAAGAGAGAGATGTGGGGCTGCTCACCTTCCACACCAGCTGCACAGCTACAGTGTATCTGTACAGAGCTAAGACAGTACAGATGTGGGGCTGCTCACCTTCCACATCAGCTGCACAGCTACAGTGTATCTGTACAGAGCTAAGACAGTACAGATGTGGGCTGCTCACCTTCCACACCAGCTGCACAGCTACAATGTATCTGTACAGAGCTAAGACAGTACAGATGTGGGCTGCTCAGCTTCCACACCAGCTGCACAGCTACAGTGTATCTGTACAGAGCTAAGACAGTACAGATGTGGGGCTGCTCAGCTTCCACACCAGCTGCACAGCTACAGTGTATCTGTACAGAGTTAAGACAATACAGATGTGGGGCTGCTTACCTTCCAGACCAGCTGCACAGTTCTGTGTCCATGAGCAGGGGACGATTCCATCTTGTACCAGAAACTTGGTGCCTTGGATGGTTCTAAAAAAATGACAAAACTGCTTAAAAGCTTTTGTTATGAGAGTGAAATCAATCATGAAAATTCTTCCTTTGCTGTGCTCTTCATATTCTTGCCCTCAATCACTCCATCTCTCTCTTCATACGGGCATTTCCATCCCAGCAGGACATGTCTGGGTCTGCCTTTAGTCAGGGCGATGGTTGGATGATTGAGGTTATATTGTAACTCTTTTGTAATCTTAAAACTGTAAAGCTACAAATACATCTTAAGCAGTAATCAAAGATGCATCATCATTTCCTACTGCTAAAAGTAAAATTGAGAACCACAAAATAGTTACAATTAAACTACAGAACAACATCATTTAGAATCGCCTGAAACTGAGCTGAATGGAAGTCCTACAGCTACGAAATGAAAGCAGCAGCCACATGGAGACTGGGAGGAGGGCGGAGGAGCAGTCGGGCTGGTCCCACACCCACAAGTGGTGGATAAACACCAGGAGGACACCTCGGCTGGGAAGGTCCTCCCTGAAGAGTGAGGGGTCCCTGTTCCACACCAGGCCCCCAGCTCAGGGTTCCAGTGCCAGGATGAGAATCCCCATCACTTCTGGCTGTAACACCAGCGGGAACTGAGGCTGAGAAAGGCTGAGGCTGCTGGAGCCCCAGGCAGCTCCTCTTAAAGGGCCCGCGCAGGACTTACTCAGTCTCCACCCTCCAGGCTCCAGCGTGGGGGAGGCAGCTTGAAAGGCACCAGAGGCATCCAGGGAAGAACTGAGCCGTCTGGCATCAGAATGAGGGCTGGAGAGGCAGCCTTCTCCCAGACAGACGTGCTGGTGGAGGCCTCTGTTCCTTTGGGGAGCCCTTCCTCGGGGGCAGCAGACGGGCACCATATCTGGGCCTCCAGCAACCTGGCTCACACTGTTTGCCCCGCCCTGGTGATTCCCTGAGGCCCCGCCCCACCCAACCTTCAGGCCACCCAAGCTGTTTCCAGTGGCTTTACCACAGGATTGACCTGTCTTGGATCCTGCATCAGATTTTCCTAAAATCTCTCAAACAAGCAGCATCTGGCCTCAGCGAGCCCCATAGCTCTCACTAAGTGGCCTCAGGCCTAGTACTAGAACCAGCAGCCTTGGTTCACAACTTGGCTTTGCCTGGGCACCTCCAAGCCCAGCATAAGAAGCAGCCATTGGCAAATCACTTTGTAGCTTGTGCCTGGTGGCCCTGGGCAGCACACAGGCAGTGGCTGACCTTGCCCCAGAGCCAGCACACCCAGTGGACAGCTTCAGACCACATCGAAGCACCACCACCCAACCACCTCTCCAGGCTCCAGCATTGGGGAGGTGACACACTCAAGGAGTGGACTCAGTGGGTACCAGAGCCCTGCTAAGTAAGTCTTGTTCTGTGTGGTGGGCCCTGCACAGCTGATCCTCCAAGGCAGTCACAGGGCAGTGGGCACAGCCAGGCCTTGCAGCCGATCAGCCTGAGTAAATCCCTCCCATTGACGTGCCAACAGCAATCAAGACTCACTCACAGCAGAAGGGTGTACAGTCCACCTCGAGGGCCTAGGGAGGCTGTGCCACTGGACCCTACAGGACACCTACTACAACAGGCCACCCTAGGAAGTGTAGGAGACATAGCAACTCTACCTAATACATAGACACAAACACAGGGAGGCAGCCAAAGTGAGGAGACAAAAAAACATGTCCCAGATGAAAGAAAAGAACAAAACTCCAGGAAAAGAACAAAATGGAGATAAGCAATCAATCAGATGCAGAGCTCAAAACACTGGTTATAAGGTTGCTCAAGGAACTTAGTGAGAACTTCAAGGAACTTAGTGAGAACATCAACAACATGAAAAAGGGTCAATCAGAAATGGAGGAGGCACTAACTGAAATAAAGAATAATTTACAGGGAATCAATAGTAGGGTAGGTAAAGCCAAGAAGCAAACCATCGATTTGGAATATAAGGAAACAAAAAATAATCAGAACAGCAAAAAGAATAAAAAAAAAATGAGGATAGTGTAAGGAGCCTCTGGGACAACTTCAAGCGTGCCAACATTCACATCATAGGGGTGCCAGAAGGAGAAGAGAGGAAGAAATTGAAAACCTATTTGAAAAAAATGACAAAAAATTTCCCTTGATGAAGGAAACAGACACACAAGTCCAGGAAGCACAGAGAGTCCCAAACAAGATAAACCCCAAAAGGCCCACAGCAAGACACATCGTCATCAAAATGCAAAAGAGAAAGACAAAGAGAGAATCTTAAAAGCAGCGAGAGAAAAGAAGTTCGTTACCTACAAGGGAGTTCCCATAAGACTGTCAGCTGATTTCTCAAAAGAAACTTTGCAGGCCAGAAGGGAGTGGCAAAAGATATTCAAGATGATGAAAAGCAAAGACCTACAACCAAGATTACTCTCTCCTGCAAAGCTGTCATTTAGAATCGATGGACATTATAAAGATTTTACCAGATAAGAAAAAGCCAAAGGAGTTCATCACCACCAAACCAGTGTTATATAAAATGTTGAAGGGTCTTCTTGAAGAACAACAAATATATGAACAATAAAATGGCAATAAATACGTATCTATCAACAATTGAATCTACATATAAAAAACAAGCAGAACAGAGAGAGACTCATAGATACAGGGAACTTTTTGTTGCTTACCTGGTGGGTGTGGGGGGGATGGGTGAAAAAGATGAAGGGTTTCAGAAGTACAAATGGGTTGTTAGACTGAGGAACCTCAAAGGGAAGGGGGGAGGGAGGGTGGGATGAGATAAACCAAAGAACTTCTATGCATATTTGCACAAGCAATGGACACAGCCAATAGTGTGGGGAAGGCAGGAGGGGGGGCAGGATTAGGGTGGAGAGGGTCAATGAGGAGAAAAAAGGGGGGACATCTGTAATACATTCAACAATAAAGATAAGTTAAAAAAAGGTAAAATTGAAAAATCCTATTTAAATACATGCTTTAAACCCCTACATGTATAAACGTAAGGCTATAAAACAAATGAAAGTAAACGGAGTGAATACAGTATCGTCTGAACGTGGGGTGACTCAGTGGAACAGGATGCAGTGCAAGGGAATTCCACGACAGCTGTGGCCATCACCACGCGAGATAGCACTTGGCGGAACAAAGCTTCAGCCGCGAGTGCGCGGCGACTGCAGAGCCCTATGGGAGGCCTGGCGTCTACAGCTTTACAGCATGATGGCAAAATATGGTATTCAGCAGAATTTTATTTCATTTATTTATTTTTTTATCCTCACCTGAGGACATTTTTCCATTTTTTGTTCAGATAGAGTGGAAGAGAGAGAGAGAAACATTGACGTGAAAGGGACACATCGAGTGGCTGCCACCCGCACGACCAACCAGGGCCGGGGACAAACTGCAACCGAGGTACATGCCCTTAGCGGGAACCGAACCCGGGTCTCTCTGGACCGCAGGCGGACGCTCTAACCGCTGAGCCAAACCAGCCAGGGCTGAATTTTAGAAAGGATCAGAATGAAATCTAGGCAGTGCGGTGCCGACCGTGAAATGGCAAGTACAGTCGACGAGAGGGCAGAAAGGCAGACCAGAGGGCTGGGAGGCCCTGTCCAGGGCTCAAGGCGGTAGGTTCATAAGGAGAAACACACGAGTGAGGAAGACAAAACCACTGAAACGTGTGATGGGCTAGAAATGTTTCTGAGAGAGAGTAGACCCAGAGGCTTCAGTCGCTTCGTTAATGGCACCTGACATTCGGCTCCTGAGACCTTCGATTTGGCAAAGTTGTGTATGATCTCCCTAGAAAACACACATGGGCACTAACCCGCATACTGTCCATATTTTAAAGGGGTTCTGGGACTCACCCAGATGGATCCAAGTACTTTGAAAGGCCCCAAGAGCCAGTTTAAGAATTCCTGATGAAGACAAAGGAACAGGCTGAGGACCCCGCCTGCTAGAGCCACAGGGTGGGGAGGAGCCCAGCCTCCCCGGCCCGCAGCCGCTCCCCTCACCCGCTCTCCGCCCTCAGCACCGCAGGGTAGGCCCCCAGCATGGCTGTGACCACTGACACCTGAAGGGGAGACTGACCGGACTGTTCAGAAAGGAAAACCCACCCACCACGGTGTCCGCGATGACTCTGGGAGAAATGAGTACACTGGTGGGGAGAGCCTACTCGGATCACTACACCTTCTACGTACCTCATTTTTAGGTAGTATTATCATGGGGGGAAAGGATAAAGGAAACCAACCAACCGACCCGGACCCGGGATTCCCTTCCAGGGCCGGCTCCGGTGCCGGCAGATGGAGAACAGAGAGCAAACACCGCGTCAGGGCGGCTCTGGGTCCACTCTGCGGGCCGGGAGCTTGGAGCGGCTCGGGACAGGATTCTCTGGTGCGGGCCAGCTCCTGACCAGCCCCCTTCAACGGGACGGTCCTCTCGTGGTCCCCGAGACACCGATCCACGACGGTCTGCTGGCTAGGCACCACGGACACGGTGCCATCGACAACGCCCACGGAGCCCGCATCTCAGTGCCGGTGAGAAAGAGGGCAAGACACCCGCCCGGACAGCCCGGTCACAGAGGAAGCCGCAGGTCTGCGTCAGGCCCGGGCAGCGCCCACTCGCCCGCGAGGCGCCCACTCACTGTCCTCGGCCGTGCTCCCGCGGGCCTCCTCGCTCCAGGCGCTCCAGAAGCCCTTGCCGTCCTCCTTCATGCAGCGGACCCGGAACGCGTACTCCGTGAACGGCCGCAGGTCCTGGACCGTGAAGGAAGAGCGGGTGGACGCCGTGTCTTCGAGAGGGATCTGGAAGCAAACAACCAACCAAAACCCAGTGGCATTACTGTTGGTCTTTTCACCATGTAAGACTCTAGAAATGAATTTAATGAAACAAAACTATGAAATTTTTTTTTAATCCTCAACTGAGGACATTTTTCCATTTTTCGTTCAGATAGATTGGGAGGGAGAGAGAGAGAAACATCGACGTGAAAGGGACACATCGAGTGGCTGCCACCCACATGACCCAACCAGGACCAGGGACAAACTGCAACTGAGGTACGTGCCCTTAGCGGGAACCGAACCCCCGTCTCTCTGGACCGCAGGCCGACGCTCTAACCGCTGGCAGCAAACCTAGCTAAGAGCACAAACCTATAAATTAACTCAAGCTCTGGAGAGAGATAAATGCAAATCAAACGGCAGTTACAATCAGAAGAGATCGTAGGTTTGGGAAGTATGGAAACATCTATAATGAATCCTTCTCCTTTATTTTCCTTTCTTTCTTCCAGAGGGCCTGCAGCACCCAGGGTCTCAGCAGGAAAAAGCTCGTTCCAACTGGAATGTAATCAAGGCTTACGAAGGGACTGGGCGCAGAGAACAGGGAAGCCTTATGCTGTCGTGCTCTGGGCTTGCGGCTGGTGCCACCCTGGGCCCATGGGAGGCACCAGAACCGGAAGAGGACCCGGCAGGGTTAACCTGAGAGCAGTGACCTTAGGCTGGAAGGAAGCGGCAGAGTCAGCATCCTGACCTCACTTCTCTCTCCTCCCTCTTGCCAGACCCCCTCCTCCCACTAACCAGACCCAACAGGAAGCTAGAAGGGACGGAGCAGATGACATCGATTGAAGGCAGCGGACCCAGACAGAGCAGGGTGAGGGACCCGCACAGGCAGAAGGAAGACGTGTCCAGCCCAGAAAGCAAAACCGTCGCTGTGGGCGAACTTGGCTTTTAGGAAGGAAGGAGCCCAAGCACGGATGAGGAACCGGCCCTTTCGACTACTCTGACAGCTCCTCCTGGGTACAAAGCAGGCGTCAGTCTCTTCTGCGCCCATGAACTGAGATTCTACGATATTTAAAACCATGTTCGAGAGCCTCGGGGAGCCGCAGCACACGAAGCGCTGGCCCGTCCGGTTCACACTTTTCCCAGCTGTGTCTGAGCCCTCCCGAGGCTGCGGAGGACAGAGCAGTAAGGCCATGGGCCCCATCCCTGACCAGCTCATCGCTGCACGGACACAGAGCGAGAGCACGCCGTCAGGGCACGTGGGCCGGAACAAAGGGGGGATGGGCTCAAGTTCTGGTGGGGCCGTCTTTCTGCCGACGGCACCGTGTCTGGAGACTGTCCTTCCCTTTCCAGTCGTACAAGGTTCCCCACCGAGTCCTTCCCCAACCTCGGGGGTTGGCAGACTCCCCCTAGAGGGCTACACAGTGAGTATTTCAGGCTGTGGGCAGAGGGCCTGTCACCCAGTCACCCCTTCCGGCAGCACACGCGCTGCAGACAGGAGGACGCCACCGTGTGGCGGCCGGACCGAGCCTGCAGACTGGTTTGCCTGCAGTCTCTCTATTTCTCTCCTCTGCGTAATTTGCTTATTATTTTGTTCCTCTCAGCTCCCACCAAAAATGCTATTACTCCCTATCTCCCTGCACTACCTCCTGCTTTCACTTAAAAGCTACCGTATTCAGTAAAACTGTTTTCTCCTGGGGTGTCTTCAGTTCTGTCCTGTTAGAGATGCGGGTCTAGAAGGGGCGAGGAACAGTCACGTGAGGCAGAAAGCGACTGAGACCTTTCAGTGAGAGAGGCGACCCCGACCCCTGTGCCGCGAGAAGGTCTAGACACGCGCGCCTGCCTGGCCAGGGCGCCGCCTCTTCCGCAGACTGCGAGATGGAAAGACAGCAGCCAGCACGGCAGCAGGCATCTGGTGCGAGGGACTCGCAATGACGCCTGCTTGCCTGGCCTGGCGGCTCAGTGGTTAGAGCGTCAGCCTGTGGGCAGCGGCGTGTGGGCTGGATTCCCGGTCAAGGGCACCCAAGGGCACGTGCCTGGGTTGTGGGTTTGGACCCCAGTCCCGGGTGGGGTCGTGTGGGAGGCAGTTAATTGATCTGTTTCTCTCACATCAATGTTTCTCTCCTTCCCTCCCTCCCTCCCTCCCTCCCTCCCTCCCACTCTGTCTAAAAAAAAATCAGTGGAAAAATATCGTCAGGTGAGGATTAACCAAGAAAAAAAAATTATGCCTACTTTTTTAGGTCAGATTGGCAAAAAATACAATGTAATTTTTGGCGTAGCACAGAATGACAGTAACTGTCACGAGCTGCGAGATGAACGGGCGGACAGCTCTGGGCCAGAGGTGACGCGACAGCATCTGCACTCACCTGGCTCCAGGTGGAGGCCCCCGCGGCCCGGTACTGAATGCTGTACTTCAGTCTGATCAGCTTGTTGATGCTCGAGTTGATCCACGTCAGCTTTAGGATGCTGGACAGCTCCTCCGAGTTGCTGACGGACAGATTGCTTGGTGGGAGGGGCTTCACTGAAGAACAAAACAGATGCTGGTGGTCGCCGACCCCGTGCACACGCTCAGACAGCTCCCACCTTCCACCTCACGACGCGCACCGACCGCCCCTAACGCATTTCTCTGGACCTGCACGAGGCCTCGTTACACAGAGGGGTTCCTGCCCTGCCTTCCTCGTCTGTCTGCACACTGCCAATCTTCCCAGGTTCAATGAAGTGTTTAGAACATATAAAATCAGAAGGAAATTAGACGGAGCCTACGTACACTCTGACCACACCCTGCGGGACGCCTCGTGCCGGCGCCAGGGCGCGCTGCCGTGCAGGCGGCTGAGACTGCGGCTGGATTACGGGCATTTTCCTTTTTCCAGATTATTTTTAATGTTGTTGACAAAATGAATGTGTGAAAGTCACTAACAAAATTAATTCCTGTTTCTACATTAATTGAAAAATCTAAAAACTGCTTTCATTTTTAAATCACTGCAAGTTTTAAAAATTTCATCTTCATTGTTGAAAGTATTAGACACCCCCGCGCCCCGCCCCTTTTCCTCCCGGACATCACTGTCTGTTTGAACAAATCCGCTGATCCAGGTTTAACTACCTGTGTCCACAGGGTCGAAGTTGATGTGATCCGACGTGACCTTCCCGAGGGCATTCTCGGCCTCCACCCAGATCTCGATGTTGACGAAGTACACGGGGGGGTAGTCCACGGTGCAGGAGGTGGGGGTGGCACGCTTTGTTTTGCAGTCGGGGAACTTGTCTGTGGCCCTAAACATAAAATGAGAGGATCGATGATCTGAAACGGCCTGAAAGAATGGCAGTGAGGTTACTTGGAAAGAGCTTTCAGAGCCTTGTCGCTGAGAACAGACGCATCGATTCCAGTATGTCTGAAACGAACTGACTGCTAAAAACATTTCTTAAAAACTAACCTGCTTTTCTTTATTTTTTTCTTTATTGATTTGAGAGAGGAAGGGAGAGGGAGAGAGACATTGATGAGAGAGCGCATCGACTGGCACCTCCTGCACAACCCCCATGGGGGATCGGGCCCACAACCTGGGCATGTGCCCTGACGGGGAATAGAACCGGGGCCTCCTGGTGCAGGATCGACGCTCAGCCACTGAGCCACACCGGCCGGGCCAACCTGCTTATCTTTAAAATGAGTTTGATCTGTAACTTAAACAGAATTATTTTCAAATTTTTACTCCAGAAATATGAATTTAGAACGTTATGCTCTATCGCACTGACCCGCTGCAGAAGAGACGTACTTGCGGTGGCTCGGGACACCCCTTCCTTCCCTGACAGCGCCCTCCCCGCGCCAGCGAGCCCTTCCCGAGCAGCGAGCTCAGGACGCGGGAGGACGGGCATGAGCAGCTCACAGAACCCACCTCAGCCTCCTCCCGGGCGACCCCGGCGACCCCTCCTGATCTCCGTCTCTACAGGAAGTTTCCAGGGATACTTCTACATTCACGTACGTGTTTAAATTATGCATCCGTTAAGAATATTTATATGTACACATTATTTTGATTTTTTAAAAAAAGGATCAACCCAAAGCAATTGAAAACAGGTAACCTCTCGGGGAAGGGAGGACATAAAATGAGACATCTGTGCACATTCCTTGCTTTACAAATTTGACTTTTTGAAATAACCAATTATTTTACATTCTAAAGAAAATTCCTAAAAATAAAAGCAAAGCAAAACATATGAGCTCTTGCACTGAGTGGTGATAGAACACATGGAAACCATTTCAAGTGTCTTTAAAACACTAACTGAATTATCCTTCGTGAAAGAACAATCTTAACATTGTTTTCAGTTTTCCACTGAAAAAGCCTAAAAACAGTCACAGCCCAGAGGCAGCAAGTCCCTGTCCCCCAAACTCTAGTTTCTAAACAGTCTTTCACATGAAATGGAACCAGGGCTACCGTGGAAGGGGCTGATTTTAGGTCCAGGCAAGAAATGTATTAAGAGAAACCTGAAAGTCGCGGCGCCTGGGAACCCAGGCCGCCAGAGCCCGGTGACACCAGGGCGAGCATCTCCGCACGGTCCACCGGCCAGAGAGGGACAACGGTAGCTTCAAGGAGAAGCATCGCAACAGCCTGAAACTCATCAAACAGCTTAAAATACGAACTCACAACGAGGGGAAAGCGCTCATGTCTGCCTTTGAAGACAGCAGGGAACCCACCCACCATGAAACTGGTCACAGCCCTGGCGGGGGTGCTCGGTGGCGGGAGCGCCGTCCCGAGCACTGGAAGGTTGCCAGTTCGATTCCGGGTCAGGGCCCACACCCAGGGTGCAGGTGTGATACCCAATAGGGGCACATGCAGGAGGGAACTGATTGACGTTTCTGTCACACACGAATGTTCTCTCTCTCCCCGCTTCTCCTCTCTCTAAAAAAAGTAACAGTGCAACTCGGGTGAGGATTGAAACAAACACGACTCGTTAATAAAGGAGACGGTGAGACCCTTTTGCTCGTCTTACAGAAACTGCGCCTCTGAGCAGCCAGAAGCTGGTGAAAGAAGATGTAAGTATTTCAGGTCAGACACGGAGGAGAACCGCCCTGTTCTGTGCCTCACCCAGAAGCGCGCTGCGAGGTGGCCACACCTTAAGTAAACAACCACTGGGAAGCACCTTGGCTCAATCCCCAAACATTCTGCTGAGCCGTAACACACGGTCTGATCCCAGCCACTGACCCTGGAACAGGCAGTCAACAGAGGACCGGTGGACGAGGGGCTGCAGGGTGGGACAGAGGCGCTGCGGCTGGCTGAAAGGGCGCCTCAGACTTTCTGGGGTGTCAGTCATGCTCTACATCTTGACGGGGGGTTCGGTTACACAGGTGTGTGCACTGGTAAAGCTACTAATGATACACTTAAGATATATAAGTACATTTAAGGTACACATAAATTTTACCAAAAACAAAAACATACCCGTGAACATTACTTAATTACATCTAATTAATGATGTATAGGCTGAGGTGTCAAAGGGTGAAGTATACCAATGTCTGCAACTCACTGAAATGTATAAAAAAGACAGGTGGAGATGCCCTGGCCGATTTGGCTCAGTGGTTAGAGCGTCGGCCTGCGGTCCGGAGAGACCCGGGTTCGGTTCCCGCTAAGGGCACGTACCTCGGTTGCAGTTTGTCCCCGGCCCTGGTTGGTCGTGCGGGTGGCAGCCACTCGATGTGTCTCTTTCATGTCAATGTTTCTCTCTCTCTCTTCCCCTCTCTCCCTCCCACTCTATCTGAACAAAAAATGGAAAAATGTCCTCATGTGAAGATAAAAAAAAAAGAACAGGTGGAGAAAAGGATGCAAAGACAAGTAGAAAGATGATAAAGCAAATATTGTAAAATATTAATTGTAGAATCTAGTGTATAAATAGTCACTATATATACTTTCAACTTTGGCCCTGGCCTGTTGGGCCAGGCCTGCTAGGCCCGCGCACTGAAGGGTCTCGGGTTTGATTCCTGGTCAAGGCCATGCAGGAGGCAACCAATCAATGTGTCTCTCTCATGTCGATGATGTTTCTCTCTCCCCCTCCCTCCTTCCCTTCCACTCTCTCTAAAGATCAATGGAAAAACATCCTAAAATGAGGATTAACAAAAAAAATAATAAAATTCTTTTAACATTTTTTTAGAGTGAGAAGGAGGGAGGAAGAGGGAGAGAAAAACATCGATGTGGGAGAGACACACTGATTGGCTGCCTCCCACATGACCCTGATCGGGGGCCGGGGATCAAACCTGCAACTCAGGTACGTGCCCTTGACTGGGAATCAAACCCATGAGCCTTTGGTCCACTGGCTGGCGCTCTAACCACTGGGAAACTGGCAGCTGCTCCTTCAGCTTTCATGGGGGACAAAGGCGAGCGGGGATGTCACAGCGAGTGAGCCAGGCTGACAGCACCGGGAACTCTCCATCTGAGAAGCGAGAACACCGAACATCACGGGGTGGTCCTGAGGGGAGCACACATCTCTCCTGGGCATCATTTCCGATACGGAAAAATCAAAGCTGAACCTGATCAAGTGTCCAGATCTGACAGCAGCTTTTAGGACGAGATGGGACAGGAGTGTTAGACCATGGAAAACGGTTCCTTTAACAACTGAACCACAAAGGATGCAGAGAAGCAGGCAGAGCCTGTAGCTAAGAGACCAGATAGCAACGTGCAACATACGAAGATCACATACACCTAGACTGGGACCCATGTGAACATACGTGCATCTGTCAGACCACGGAAACTGAACCCTGACTGAGAAGTGATGACAAAGTGCCCTCAGCCCCATTCGGCTGTGACAATGGTGGACAGCTGTGCTTTCTAACGTGGCCTCAGCTGGTGGAGACGTGCGTGAGCTCTGGGGCTGAGAGGCGTGCGAGACCCCGAAACACGCCAGGAGCTGATCGTTACTGAAGCCGCATCGTGGGGAGTCGCTACTCTATTCCTTCTACTTTAGGGTTGCAAATGTTCTAGCATAAAAGGTTAGATAAATGTTTAAAGTTTTGCACTTAATATCACTACTTGACAAGATAAGAATTCAGCAGACGACGGACGTAAAATGACTTGCCACTCAGACTTCAGGGTGAAGTTCGTGTCCAGGTAGGTCTCCCGCCCAGGGTCCCACTGACAGAGCATGTTCTTCCCTTCGTTCACGATGCAGCTCAAGTTGCTGGGTTGTTCTGGAGGCACTAGGAGGGAAAAATGAGCAGCGTTCACAGGTGTACGCCCTCAAATATCATGCAACCCACACACTACCCAGGAAACGCACAGCTAAACTAGACAGGAAAAAGCCCCAGCAGAAAGTGTGGGAGCAATGAAAGACTGGTGCCCCCAAACTCACTTCTCCCCTGTTCAAACTCAGACCTCTTTCTAGGAAGTAATGCACATCTTCATCATAACTCTTGACTGGTACGCTGGAATTACTTTCCACGCATAGTTCATAATTAGATAACAGCATGAACTGATTTCCCCACAAGGGTGTCTTGAAAAGTAGTATTTGCATGTTAGCAAGAGGACACTGAACAGGAGCAAGCACGGTTCACTCCGCTCCTCCTGCTGCCCCGGGATTCTGCCAAAGCAAAGCCAGTGCAAAGTCGCAGCTCCGGGCGTCCAGCTGGCCAGTCTGCACGGGGACCCCGCGGAGGCCCTCTGCCGGGGCACAGAGGAGGCCGCCCCGGTGGCTGCTCAACGGCACTTTCCTAGTGACTAAGGGACACTGGAAGTTACTGCACGTGTGCAGATTTCAATTCAACAATTCTTTGTGGGGGTTATCATGTCAAAAGATTTTTCTAGAAAATAAGACAGATCCTCGGCTTTCAGGGGAAATATAAAACTTGTGCTACTTTTTAGTTTTTTTGCATATTAGTAATAAAACTGTAGTTCCACTTCTAAGCTTATTTGTAACAAAACAAACATGTCCAAAAGCACTGCCCCGACAGGCCACCGCCTCTCACGGCCAGCGCCGCACAGTGCAGCAGCACGTCGCCCGGGACGCGCGGAACTCACGGCCTGCGAGCACGCTGATCCCATACACGTTCTGGTCGATCTGCCCGAACGTGCGGATGTTGCAGGTGAGCTGGGTGCTGAGTGAAGACACGTTGGCGAAGGTGACGCTGCAGGCCGTTCTGTTCAGCACGGTGTACTGCTCGTGGGGCACGGTGACGTGGTTGGTCTTCCAGAAGATGTCGTCAGCACTGACGTGGAAGTTGCTCATGCACCTCTCCTTCAGCACGCAGACGGCAGTGAAGCTGGAGCCCAGCTGCACGACCGGGGCCTCGGGCTCGATGGAGCCGCACAGGTCCAGGAGGCTGCCTGGGGAGAAGTCACGGAACACGTCAGAGCAGCCTGTGCGCCACCAGCCCCAGGCTCGGGTTCGGGTCTGGGCCGGCCCTCAGCCTTCGCTGAACGTGTCTAAAGACACAGAACAAGAAGGGACACGGAGAAAGTCAGTCCAGCCAGAATCTAGGGGCAGAAAGTGGGCGGAGACACAGCGCATCGGGAAGACGGGCCATGACCTCGGACCCAGTGAGCACAGCCCTTTCCTTGCCTCCGTGGGGTTCACAGGTCCCCCGTCCTGCACCTCATTCAGCGCCGGTCCACAGGAACCCCAGCACAGGCAGTGGCCCCGAATGCTGCTGGGGTGCGGGTGGGGACGGGGGCATGGCAGACACCATCCAACAGCAAAACGCAGACCACAGAGGGACAAGCTCAGTCCGCTGTGTGCTGCCCCGGCACAGGGGACCCCGCACACCTGCCGGAGCAGATGGGCTGGCGCACCTCCCTGCTGCGAGGCCTGAGTGCGACCGGCGCCCATCAGGACGAAGTCCCCACTGAGTCAGCACGGCCCTGTTCCCCTGCCTCGCGGTCAGAACTGCACGGCAGCTTCCGCTGGGGACCCGGGAGCTGAGGCACCATCATGGGCGGCGCCTGCCGGGATGCCCAGCCCTCACCCGAGACGGAAGCCTACGCCCCCGGGAGCCAGGCCTGCCACCCGCACAGGGCCGGGCGGGCCCTTCGGAGGGACGGGCTCTAGCAGTCACGGTAGAAGGCACAGAGTGACGAGCGACGAATCTGAGAAGAGCCTCAGAGATCAGGCACTTCAGCCCTTTACTTTATCAAGAAAGTCGCTTCGATTCGGTCAGGGGACATGCCCTGGTGATGGCTCAGTTCCCGGGGGGCTGCGGGGGCGCCGACAGATGTTCTTCTCTCATCTGTGTTTCTGTCCCTCGCCCTTCCTATCTAAAATCAATAAAAACATGTATACACATGTATACACACATACACACACACACACACATATATGTACATATGCATATACATAAAAGAAAGCTGAGATACTTGTTAGAGAGTCGACCCCGATCATCAGCCAGACTTCCAAACCTGACGTGGCCCCAGCTACATGCACGAAGGGTTAAATGGCCTCGGAAAGCTCTGGAGCCCTCACCCCGCAGCTCCCCACGCCGGCAGGAAGAGCGAGCCGTGTCTGCGGTCGGGACTGTGCTCCGACGTGGAGCCGGGGCCCATGAGCCTGCAGGGCCAAAGCTGCAACGTGTATTTCTGTTTCGAGACAGGCGTGCGGCCTGCGCCTCTGACCATGACTGCGCTGCATGTCTGCTGCACGCCCAGGCCCACAGCATCAGACATCACCCGGAACTCCCTGCACAGAGCTCCCTCTTGAGGGTGCTGGGAGTCACCCTGGGCACTGGCCAGTCCTCAACCCCCGAGGCCACACCTCCTTCCCTGGTCAAAGCGCTCCCGTTCGACTCTCCGAAGTACGTGAAGGGAGCAGTAAATGTGAAGTATGAGTATCAAAGCCTCAATAGTAATCATTTTTAACCACACAGAATCAAAGAAATACTAGAAATGGGCAAAGGTTCCAGTTTTCAAAGAGAAACGCAGGCTCCTTAACACTGTCCCATTCCAGATGACCCCGTTTTTCCAGGCTGCAGCGCGGAGTTCCCTTGACCAGGTCTGTGGTCAGCCAGCCGGCAGCCACGTGGATGAGGAGACGTGACTGGAACACGCCACAGCAAACGTCAGAACGAACACTATGAAGCTGCTGCCCTGCGGCAGCTGAGTCGAACGAACACATTTTAACTGGCTGATGACTCGGACGTAAACACGCCGACCAAGGCAACGTCATCGGGGGTCTGCGCAGTCTGCTGACAAGCTGCCCCGGCGTGGTCTCCCTGCCACGCACTGGCCCACCTCCCGCCCCAGACCCGCGGGGTGCCCGCGTCTGCGCAGGCCATGGCGTGGGCCCACGACTTCCAGGGCGAGGTCAGTAAAACGCACAACTTTCGACCAGCTCTCCTTTTCTCTGGGGACACTTGCCCTCGACCCAGGCAGGTGTGGGGAGGAGGCCAAGGCCACCTGCAGAGACCACGTGTGGTTCCGGCCTGGAGCCACCAAGTCCTCAGCCTACAGCATCCACGCCTTCCGATCGTCCCGGCCCCAATCTGGGCTTTCCAGACGGGCCCCCCGAATCACGGGGTGCGATGAGCCAGTCTGGCCGCACCTGTCTGTGTTTCTGACTCACGCAGACCATGAGAGATAAGAATCACTGTTCTTCTAAGCCACAGAGCTGTGGAGTGATTTGTGATGCAGCGACATTTCAATCAACGACTTGGGAGAAGACAAAGAGTGAGAGGCACACACTCAGCGATTCTGCAGAGCACAAGGCCAGGGATGACCACCAGTACTCCGGACGACGGTGTCGGTTCAAAATTATGACGAGAGATTAGACCGACAGACCCTGGCCAGTTTGGCTCAGCGATTGAGCGTTGGCCTGTGGACCAGAGAGTCCCGGGTTCGGTTCCCGCTAGGAGCACGTACCACCAAAAAAAAAAATTAGACCGACAGGCTATAGCTAATAAAGTGAACTTTGCAAAAAAAAGAAAACACTATCTCCTATTTAGTTGGATAAGAGGTAAATATAGGGTGATGGAGAAATAACTTGAAAAGTAATTCATGTGAAAAAAACCTGAAAATTTTCCCTGACTTGTAGCTTAATGTGAAACTACAGTGTATCTTGGCTGGCAAAAAACTACATTTTTTAGTAAAAATAATGTTCTTGATCAAAGTAATAAAGTCACTACACTTGGATCATGTCTATTTCTGGAATTATATTCATTTTTTCCTAATGCATTTTATTCAAACCTTAACAGTGAGTATCTCATCACTGTCCTTGTTATGCTTACTGTGGGCCAAGCATGTCCAAATGCCTTTTGTGTATTAACTCACTTAACTCTCGCAGTAACTGAGGAGGAAGGGACCGTTTTCATTTCCATCTCACAGACCAAGAAGCTGAGACGCAGACTGAGTGACTGCCCGAGTCTTTAGCTGGCAGTGGGACAGGTGTGTGTCAGATGTGACGCGGCAGCCCGAGAAGCAGCAGGAGGGTGACCGTGCACAGGCTGGAGCCAGCGCGGGAGAGGGGGGCGGGGATGACCGGGGAGCTGAGTTCGGGGACGAGGCGAGGGGCACAGAGACGGACGGAAGCAGCCCTGCAGCCCTGCAGAGGTGGACAGCGGGGGGAGAAGCGGGTCTATCCTAGAACTAGGGTTGATGCAAAGAGTTACAAGGAGGACAGTCTGGGTTCAAGAATAAGGAGCCCTGGCTGGGCGGCTCGGCTGGTTGGAGTGTCAGTCATCCCACACACCAAAAGGTTGCAGGTTCACATCCAGGTCAGGGCACATACCTAGATCATGAATTCGATCCCCATTCGGGGAATGCAGAAGGCAACCAATTGATGTTTCTCTTTCTCTCAAGTCAAAAAACATATCCTCGGGTGAGGATTAAAAAAACAGTAACAATAAAAATAAGGAAAGACTTTCTAAGTAAGATTTTCTTTTTTTTTAATCCTCACCCGAGGACATTTTCCCATTTTTTTGTTCAGGTAGAGTGGGAGGGAGAGAGAGGAACAGAGAGAGAGAGAAACATCGACGTGAAGGGACACATCGAGTGGCTGCCACCCGCACGACCGACCAGGGCCGGGGACAAACTGCAACCGAGGTACACGCCCTTAGCGGGAACCAAACCCGGGTCTCAGGACCGCAGGCCGACGCTCTAACCGCTGAGCCAAACCGGCCAGGGCCTAAGTAAGATTTTCAACATGAGCTTTGAGTTCAGAAAGAAGTGTCAGCCAGTTTGGCCCAGAGGTTAAAGCATCGAACACGGACCAGGGAGTCCTGGGTTCAGCAGCCAGTAGATGTGTCTCTCTCACATCGATATTTCTCTCTCTCTCTCCACCCCTCTCCCCCTCTCACTCTATCTGAAGATAAAGGCAAAAAAAAGTCCTCGAGTGAGAATAAAAACAAAGTGTCATTCCCTGACTTGAGGGCGTCGATTCAGAGCAGTGCTGCTCAGCCTGCGGTGTAGGACCAGAGACTTCCCCCAGACCGTTCAGACTTTCACTTCTGTTCCACGAGACACGTTCACTGACTCCACGCCTGGACGCCCCAGGTCACGTCCCACGTGAACTGAGCTCCACACCGAGGCCCGCCCTCCGTGCCAGGGTCCCTGTGGACCAGCAGCCAGCAGCTCTCAGACGGGCGCCCGCTGGGGCAGCGTGGACGCGTCGGGTCCAGGGCTCTTCTGCTCCCAAGCACACGGCTACCCAGGGACCCCTGGTCATCAGGGGCTCCTGGTTCTGTGGTGAAAACATCTCCCCTTCCCCACCTCAGTTGTTACTACAGCTAAGCAGCAATGGGAATCACTGAGCGACTGTTTCAACTCACATTATACAAAGTATAATTCATCAGGAGTCCTTTACTGCTTAAAGTCATTTAAGACAGTGTGCTCTTAACAATGACCCTAGAAAGAATATGTCAGCATAATTATATAATTATTAAGCACCAGCCTAATTAAGTTAATTACACAGCTATACCAAGCCTGACTGGTGTGTGTTCCGCGAACCTTACCTTGGGACTCAGTGGTGAGGAGAAGCAGCAAAGTCTGCACCACCCAGGTTCGCAAGGTCGACATCTTGTGGAGATGGTTCTGTAAGAGACACAGGTGACACTGGGTTTAATATTTTTCCTTTATTGCACATAAATTAAGACAATTTCTAAAGCTCGTCCGTTCCCAGTGAACAGCTGTCTTCTGGAAGGTGGGAAGTTCTTCGGAGAGTGCAGAAAACCAGCTGACGTCTTCCGAGTATCCCTGCTTCCTCGCACTGAAGCTGGGCACACGAGTCGGGGCTGGGGACGCGCTGTGTGCTGCACGGTGGATGGGGCCCGTTTTCCCCGCAGTAAACACCCTCTGAGACAGAGCTTCAGAGGCACGGCGTCTGTGCGGCCAGACCCGCCACAAACAACCTCCTAAGTTACCTGACAACGGAAAAGGGTCCAAGTCATAGCCTGACCCGAAACACCCAGCACATGAAGAAGGCCCACGACTCACTCAAAATTTCCAGCACCTGCAGAAAAACAGGCCGGAGGCGTGACGGGGCCATTCGCAGGAAAGGAAACGAGCACTCGAACGCGTGACGTGGCACTTTCAACCTCACTCAGCGGAAGCCGGGGACGGGAGTTCCCACGCGGGAACGCAAGCCACGCAGCCGCTCTGGACCCCTGGGCAGGCCCTCGCCAGGTAGAGACACCGAGTGGCAGTCCCACTCCTAGGGACGCACCGGCAGAGTGAACACACGTCCTCAGAGACGCACACGCTCGCAGCAGCTCCGCCCTCACAGCCGGGCTGGGACCCACGCGACACCGGCACTGGGCGCGACCAAGCTGTCACCCAAACCAGGGGCCCCTCTAGTAGGACAGGGAGCGACCTGGTGAAGGCTCAGCTGCACAGATGTGTCTCCGAGGCCGGTGCTGAATGCAGGGGCCAGCCGGGGGCATGTGCCGCGGAGCCTGCTCACAGGGAATCAGCAGTTGGCAGAGCGACGGTGACGGTGACAGAAGCGGACAGGCTGGCCGAGGCGGGGAGGGGACACATGCAAGAAGCACACATAGCCCTGGCCAGTCTGGCTCAGCACTAGAGCATCAGCTCGCGGACCAACAAGTCGTGGGTTTGAGTCCAGTCAAGGGCACATTGCTTGGTTGCAGTTTGTCCCTGGTCAGGTTGTGTGGGAGGCCCTATCACATCAATGTTTCTCTCCCTACCCCATCCCCCACTCTATCTAAAGATAAATGGAAAAGCATCCTTGGGTGAAGATTAAAAAAAAGATGTTCTATGACCTGACTGTGGTGGGAACATGACTCTATTCGTCAAAACCCACTGGACTGCGTCCAGAGCTGTGAGGCCGAGATGTCACCTTGCTTGCAGCTGACCAGAAGCCAAGCAGTTCCTGGGGCACTAGGGAGCCAGGCTCTGGAGCCAGAGCCAGTGCCGCCCACAGCCGAGCGGTCAGGTGACACCTGTGCCCGCCCACCGCGGCTGCACGGCAGGACAGGAGGGCGGGGCTCGGGACAGGCCTCTCAGGATGGCAGCAAGTGTGCCCGTGCTCCTCCGGAGGACCCAGCAGGACCTGCCCTCTGCCACGAACAGACGGCCACTTCCATTCCTCCACACCCTCGAAGACCGTGCAGGACAGAGGAGCCGGCTCGTCCGGGAAGTGCAGGAGTCCCACGGGAAGCTCCTGCTCACAGCCTGTCCCAAGTCGGTGAGCTTCACGGTGTGTACACGAGACTTCGATTAAAATCAAACCCAGCCTGGGCAGGTGCACAGTCAAAGGGAGCGTTTGGCTCCTCCACAGGACGTGCGGAGCTCACAGGAGCTTTGTTCCTGAAGCCGAAAGGCAACCAAAACCCATCAACAGATGGATTATGGCGCTTTTGCCCCCATAGTGCTGAACCTCCGCAGGGACGCGAGCGCTCACAGCTACCTGGAGTCTCGCCTGTCAACGGAAGAGACCACACGAAGCAGAGCACGCTCTACACGACTCCCTGCACACAAAATCCACACACAGGCAAACAATCCGCCGGACAGGTCGGAGCAGGGGTCATCTCTGGGGGAGGGGAAGACACAGGGAGCTCTGGGGTGCTGGCCGTGTCCTTATCTTGATTGGAAGGTGGTAAAACTTCAGTGAGCAGTACACACAGGATTTGTGAGTACTTAGTAAAACCAGCAAACAAAACAATCACTACCCCAATTCCACTGTCACCTCCAGGACTGAGTGACGGCAGTGCATGGAGATGGAGGCTCAAAGGCTCACCCCTGGGGCACGGTGTCAGCGGGCATGACCTTCCCAAAGAGCTGTACAGCTAAACCCAGAATGCTACGGTTTGTAAATCAGACCTCAGTTAAAAACAGAAACCTACCCAGACAAGGTGCATGCCAGTTTACCTCTGTCAAGTTGAAATACAGATGTCTGAACCTAATGGTTCTCCTTCTAGTATCTGACCCTACAGGCATGAGCAGAACACACGTGCGAAGTTACTCACGACGGTCCTGTAACAGTACGACTATGCCCACGTGGAGGAGATGGTTAGGTTACGGCGTCCCCAAACATCGTGGCCACAGAGCCGTAAAGAAGGAAGCTCTGCGTGTGTGGGAATGTAGCGTATCTAAAATAATTGCTGAAGCAGAGAACAGTACATTTGTTCTTTGTGAGCAAAGAAGGTAACAGAATACACACTACCTTCTTTCTGAACGCAGAGTCTCTCTACAGTTTCTCAAATGCTGGCCCCCCCGGGACTCTGAGACACAGGGTGGGACGGAGACTGTACTGCACACTCAGTGCCTTTCCAAAGCTACACCACAGGACGTTTGTACTTAGTCTAAAAATAAACACAATTTAAATGAAAAAAACCAAGAAACAAAACTTAATGTGCAAATGTTCTCTCCCAAGTAAAACTAAACTTCCTGATGAGGGCTCTGTGGTACTACACTTCCTTTATTAAGTATAAATACTCACTTGGCCTTTGGCACCCCAGCCATGGAACGGCCGCTCCGCAACACAATTATTTGATGGGGGCCTGTTTCGACGTCTCAGGCAACTGCAGGAGAACTAAGCTGCAGGAACCGTCGTCCTCTGATTCCTTCCTTACTTCCCAACTATAAACAGTCCCATGTTAGAACCCACCCCCATCACACAACTGTTCACGGAAACCAAGAACCCCTGTAAGCACAGTGGTAGCGGAGGGTGTGGTCATGCCGTTCCGACCCCCCGAACCAGGCACCTTGTTCAAAGCACAGACAGGGTCTGTCCAGGTCCTGGAAACTGGGGCTCTCCCTGCTGCTGCATCTTCTCCTGACAAAGCTCTGAGACGGGAGGTCCCACAAGGGACCAATGGCTGCTTCAGAGTAGTTACACTGACCTGGACAGTGACACGTTTCTAATCTTGAAAGAATTGTCACCGAGATGAAATGAAGGAACATCTATTAACAAACCTGATTTCACAGTCCAAACCAAACAGATGGAGACACGGTTATAACACCTAAAATATTATATGAGATGCAGTATATTCAACTGCATTTTTGACCCGTTTTAAAATGGACAGAATTGACATTCTCTGCTTATTTTCTCCTCCTTTTATTCTGTTGACAGTAAACATTCCATTTAAATCTATTATTAGCACTATCCTCATTTCATGCAGATTTTTCTACATATCTAAGTACATACTGCATGCCCTGATTTTTCTACGGATATACTAGAAGTACACATTGCATGCACTGATTTTTCTATGGATATATTATAAGTACATACTGAATGCCCTGATTTTTCTATGTATAGATTATAAGTACATATTGCATGCCCTGATTTTTCTATGGATATAAGTACATACTGCATGCCCTGATTTTTCTACGGATATACTAGAAGTACACATTGCATGCACTGATTGTTCTACGTATATATTATAAGTACACATTGCATGCACTGATTTTTCTATGTATATAAGTACACATTGCATGCACTGATTTTTCTATGGATATAAGTACATACTGCATGCCCTGATTTTTCTGTTTATATTATAAGTACATATTTCATGCACTGATTGTTCTACGTATATAAATACACATTGCATGCACTGATTTTTCTACATTTATAAGTACATATTGCATGCACTGATTTTTCTACGTGTATAAGTACTATTGCATGCACTGATTTTTCTATGTATATAAGTACATATTGCATGCACTGATTTTTCTACGTATATAAGTACATATTGCATGCACTGACTTTTCTATGTATATATAAGTACATACTGTACTGCATGCACTGATTTTTCTATGTATATATTATAAGTACATATTGCTTGCACTGATTTTTCTACATATATAAGTACATACTGCATGCACTGACTTTTCTATGTATATATAAGTACATACTGTACTGCATGCACTGATTTTTCTAGTATATATTATAAGTACATATTGCTTGCACTGATTTTTCTACGTATATAAGTACATATTGCATGCACTGACTTTTCTATGTATATATAAGTACATACTGTACTGCATGCACTGATTTTTTTATGTATAGATTATAAGTACATATTGCATGCCCTGATTTTTCTATGGATATATTATAAGTACATACTGCATGTCCTGATTTTTCTATGTATAGATTATAAGTACACATTGCATGCACTGATTTTTCTACAGATATATTATAAGTACACATTGATGCACTGAATTTTCCATGTACATATTATAAGTACACATTGCATGCCCTTATTTTTCTACATACATATTGTAAGTACACACTGCTTGCACTGATTTTCCTTGACATCTGCATGTCACCTGGGAAGCTGAGACATGAGTCTCAACCACAGCCCAGGGAAAGGTGTCCTCTGAGAACCGAGCAGCTTCCTCTACAGCAAGGGCTCAGCTCTGCCCGTCAACAAGGTCCTGTGCTGGTGGGAGCTGGAGGACGCAGCGTGAGTAACTCACCACTGTTAACGTTCAGGTAACCAAGTGCATAAATGATTTACTTTTAAAATGAGAACAAATTCAAGATTATCTCCACAGCTGTGCATTTTCATTCCCATGGGTTTTCTCAAATGGGAGGAAAAGCAGTGGAGTTATAATTGATAAATATTTAATGT